TTAGATTCTTAGTGAATCTTAACTTATATATCTTTTTGTTTAAAGAAATTTTATTATCCATTTTTTAAGAAACCTTTTTTCACTATCTAATTCAAGAAATATTTTTATCAAAGTATCTAATTTTCTTATTTTTGAGTTTTGAAATAAAATTTAGATTTCTTAATATATAAAGATAGTTGAACTAGAAAAAGTAGAAAAATTTTAGTTTGTTTAAAGAAAGAGAAAGTTAAATTAAAATGAACTTCAAATCAGATTCAGTCTTCTTTTAATTAAAAATTATAGTTATCTATAACACTCAAATTTAAGTTTTCTTAGTTTGATTTTTAACTTGATACTGACATATCATTTGAATTTCTTGGTAACAGTTCAATTATTATTAATAAATTTAATGATTTTTCTTGAAAAAAAATTCTGGTAATTGGTCAATTTATACAGATTTGTAATATAATTACAAAAGATAATTGTAGTTTATTTTTATTGTTTTACTTTTATATTTTTTATTTGTAATCCTTATAACATGTTAATAAATTTATGATAGTATTACATCATTAAAAAAATCTAAGTTATATAAGAGATTTTTTGGAGTTCTATCTTTATAATATATAAATAATGATATTATTAATTATTATTAGTCTGAAATATAAGTGAAAGACTATCTATATATAAGCAATAGTAATGAAAAATATCTATCTGTCTACTTGCTTAAATCTTAGATAATGCGTAATTAGACTTTTTGTTACATTTATACTTTAAACTTAATAACAGTTTTTAAAACTGTTTTCTAGTTTGATATTATTTTCTATATGATTATATTACTTAAATGTTTAATATTATTTTAGTAATAATAAAGAAATATGTAATGTTAAATTATAAAATATTAATTTTTAATCAGAAAATTATGATTATATAATATTGATTCATAATAATTTAAGTTGATTTATATTGATAAACTATTAATATTAAATTTAACTCAATAAAATGCAAAGAAATGTTTAATTATTAATCTAATTAAAAAAAAAGTATTTGTAAATATAATTAAATAAATTGATTATTTTTAATTAAAAGTTTTATGATTTAAAATATAAAAATCAGTTATATACTAAAAAAAATTTATAATGTATTTTAAACAATTTTTAATATATGCAATCAGTTATAAATATGCTAATTAGCTATAAATAAAATAGGTTAAATTTTAACTAATTATTAATATATAATAATTAGATATAAGTATATTAATCAGTTATAAATAGATAGGTTAAATTTTAATTAATTTTTAATGTATATTAATTGTTATATTAAATTTAATTTTAGATTGATTTAAAACTAATTTATCAAATCAGTCACAAGACATGTCTAATGATCTATAAATAAATAATAATTAAATTTTACGATAAAATAATTATATCATATAGTAATTAAGAGCATTTTTTTTTATAATTAAAAAATTTTTTAAAAATTAATTAAAACTTATTTTTTATATATTTTAACATATTTAAAACAAATTGATTTATTTTTAAAACCATATTTATTTTTTGTAAGGTATTTTAATAAACTAATAAAACTTAACTTTTTCTGCAAGATCATTTTTTAATATATAATTTTTTTTATTAAAAATAAATTCAAGATATTTAACGAAGTTCAAAAAAATAAAAAAATTAAAGATTTAAGGTAAATAAGTATAATTATTTAGCAATTTATATATCATTAGACTTTAATTTTTTAAATTGTCTCCTATAACGTAACCAAACTTCTCAAATTCTTTTTACTATCTGATAGTGAGCAGATTTTTATAAGTACCTCTTTTGTTTCTTCTAATGATAATTCAGATAATTGTTGTAAGTTTGTAAAAATTTTTTGTTCTGAATTAGTTAAAGATCTATATCATCATTTAAGATTAGAAACTTCAAAATCTAAAATAAAAATATTTTTTATTATTGTTATTATTATTATAATCATTGTAATCTTTATATTTAAAAATATATTACTTATCATTACGTTTTGTATTATTATTATCATTATTATTTTGTCTTTCTATACTTTGTTTTTTAATTATTTTTTCTTGTTCTTTACGATCTTTCTTTAATTTTTTTTGTTGTTCAATTTTAATTGTATTTATATTTTTTATACAACGTCCTTTTGTATTATAAGGAATATTTTTTTTTGATTTTTTGTGCATGTATATTATTAAGTCATTCAATTCCTATTTCATAATAATTAAAAAGATTATTGAATCCATTTAAATTATTTTTAGTAGTATTTTTAAATATGTTGTGAGTAGCCAGATCTGTAAGATTAAATGCATCAATAAGTTAATTAATTAATTTCCAAAGAGCTCCTTATGAGATTTTATATTTCGACTATTTTGAATAAGGATATCTTTTCCAACATATTCATTTAAAAAAATATCTAATCTTTTTCTTTTAGATTGTATTAAACTTATTTGTTGTTTTAAATTTTCACTATCTCCTGGATTTTTTCCTATGTTTTGTTTTACATATTTGACTCTGAATCTTTCCAAAGCTTCATTGAGGTAAAAAAATGACCTGAACTAGTAAAATTAATCGAACATACATAACGAAGTAATAATTATAATAATAGATCTTCAAAAATACTATGAATAAAATGGATAATTGATCTTGTATAGTTACTTTTTCCTGCTATAGGAAAAAGTGAAACAAATGCAATTAGATTTTCAAATTGCATGTCATAGTTACTATATTGAATTCCTATCTTGTGTCTAATCCAATATCCACATCAACAAAAATATAAATACCATATTTTTATAAAATTATTTTCCTTTTGAATATTATTTTTATTAAAAGTTTTTTTTTGTTTTCATAATTTGACTTAAAGAAATTCCAACTACTATCCAAATTAGTTTCAAAACACGACATGTGGCTTAATAGTCTACTACCTTTTCTAATTTGTCTAAATAACGAACACTAATACAAGCTGCTAGATTAAGGATTCTATATTCTGAGAAAATAGTAATTGGTGTATTACACATTTTTTTGCTTGTGTGCTATGCCCCAAGTAAAAGTCTTATTTCAGATTTTTGCTCACAATAAGAAATTAAACGATGAAAAATTGTCTTGTCACAAGCTACATCAATATTTTTATTATCACCATTTTTTTGGAAAAACATCCCAAAATACATATCGCAAGCATTATGCACAACTTTATTATTATAAGGATTCTCTTCAGGTTCTAAAATAATTACATTCAGTGGTAAAACCCTACATCCTAATTCAATATCTTTAACTAATTCCTTATAAATAATAATTATATTCAGATCCATTTTATATGTTTATAAGAGGTAATTAATTTTGTTTGCAAAATCCTCAAGTTCATTATCAATAAACTGTGATAAACTAACTTCAAATAGTTTTTTTTCAATAAAATTAGATTTAGTGATAATTTGATTAATAGGAACTGGTAATCTAAATTGGAAAACCATTTGAAGAGTTGTATATGTTGTTGCTCGAGTTATATCATATATATTTTTATAAGCAAATGTATGCTTTTTAAAATCTATATTATTAATTACACAAAGATTCCATATATTTTTTCCCTGTTGTAATCTTTCTTCTGATTTATTTCTACCTATTCTTATTTTTTTTAATCGTCGTTCATAATATTGTGTATATGAAACTACACTCACTGTGCATAAAATTGTATATAGAGAACTTAGAAAATTTGACTTTCAATATAAAGAATTCATAATATGAGTAAGCTATACATCAACCCCTGGAAATGCAATAGATAAAATCATTGATATAATAAAAATTGATATTTTTTTGAATGAGTTTTATCAAAATCCTCTATTAAAAATCCTCTTTGTTTACGTTTTCTTACTACAATCTCATATTTTTTCTTTTGCAGAAAAGTTATAAATCCATCAAAGAAATCTCTTAAAATTATTGGAAAACCATTCCGATATGTTTCAAGTGACTGTGAAGTTTCAAGTTTCTCTTTTTTTCATGAACTTCTGAATGCAATTTCCAAATATATAATCCAAAAGTTTCTCCTGTCTTCTTTGGTTGTTCTTTTAACAAATTAATAATTGAATGCTCAATTTTTAATTTTTTTAAATTTATTTTTGATAGGCGTAATACAACTTTAATTGCAAGTAAACTTAGAAGTTCTTTATTATCATTAGTATTAATATCGACATTATTTTGCTTTGCTTTTTTAAAAACTGTATCAATTACTATACTTATTTCTATTAATAGTATATTTTTCAATTTATTGTCATCTGATTCAGCTACGTTAGAAATCCATTACCCTAATAGTTTAAAAGCATTTGTGATATCATGAATATGTTCTTTTTAACAGGAAAAAGCCTTTGATCCACTTCCTTTTCATTCATAAAAATGGCCACCTTCTTTTTGAAAACATTTAGAATATATATATCATGCAGTTTGATTTGAACTAATTTTTTTGATAAGTTTGTTTTGATTATTAAATACTAAATATACTTAGAATCTTAAGCAAGGTATTTGTACATTTCGGTCATTGATATTCACAGTATGTTCTATACAATTCATACTATGACTAAAAAAATATTTATCTTTACAACAAAAAAGGCAACGACGTCTATATATAAAACTTTTATCTACTGATTAGAATTGTTTTTGATTTTTCTTGTATAATTGATTTTGATCAAAAGATAAATGTGACATACAAATACCTAAAGTATGCAATATACTTTCAGGATTAGTTTGATCAATTACTGATTTGTCAACTTTTCAGATTCCTATTAATTGACAAAGAAGACGAAGATTATGTTCTGATTTTGCATAATTTGAACAACGTTTTATTTATCCATCATAAATGTCAATTAATACACATGGAATAAGATCTTTACATCCTATTTTGATATCATTTATTAAATAGTTTTCATCAGAATCAATTGTTGAACTTTTTTCAACAGTTTCTTTTTCAATTGAGTCCATGTCTTCCCATGTTATATTGACTTCATTAGGTTTATCTAAACTAGCTCATTCTTTAGCATTTTGAAATGCCTTATAATCGAATAAGAATTCATGATTATTGTCATCATTAGTAGAAGGTGTAACCAGAATTTTACTTATATTATCAGTTGTAAAACTATAATCATCGTTTTTAAGTAAAATATTGTTCTTATCAGGATCATTATATTCAAATTCGCTACTATTTATATAGTCTGCAAGAGTTCTCGCTTCCCATAAACTGATATTTTCATCTTCAAAAATATAACGATAAATTTTTTTATACTTTTAAAAAAAGTTTAAAGATAAAATATTGATATATTAAAAACTGATTATAGATATATTTTTATTAAAGTTGATAATGATAAAGGAAAAAAGGTATCTTACTTGAATAAAAATAATGATATTGATAAATATAATTGAAAAAAAAGCGTATTTTATTTTTTTTATGTGAAAAAAAAGTTATATTGATATCGATAATAGTCAATCACATTGATTTTGCTATATTAAATGTATCAATACCCATTTTTGAAATATGTTGCAATTTAACGTTAAACTTTACCATTACAATTAGACTGCTTTAAAGCATTACAATTACCTAACTAAATATAAAAA